GTAATGAATATCAGTTAATCCTTTTAGCCATTAACTGTATGTACACATGTGCGACATGTGAGACTCAAACAATATCATAGTGACATAACTACATAATCAATGAAACAGGAAATAAATGTCTAATTGTCTGGATATAGTATTCTGAGAACATCCTCCGCAAGCTTCACCTCGGCTTTATCTGGGTCATATTCAAGGAATAATTGCAAGATCAAGTGTCAATCTCAGGCTGACGGGCGAAATGTGATCCGCAATGTAATTATATCTGGCCCCCATGATAACAAAGTTACTATTATTATTTCATTAATCCTACAGGCGTTAATGGTAAGTGTTCAATAACGGATTCCATCGGTTTGGACCTCATTTTAAAGCCTTTTTTCCGTAATTCTATAAATGTTTTACTCAAAGCACAATTAGTAATTGCTTAATACAGAGAAAAATGTAATGTTTTTGTGTATAGCCCTAAATCACAACAGCAGTCGTCTCAAAGGGTCATCCCTGACAAAGTTGTCAGGGATGACCACTGTTGCATAAATGTCCTGAATCATCACTGTCGTTAGACCCTTCTGCATCGACAAGGCAATCATGGGCCCATCGTACGTCTGTTACGGTGTTGGTTCAATCTAAATATAACTGAACTAACTGGTAAAGCTTTATGTTAAGGTGTAAAGTAACTAACTTTTTCATTCTCAGGTCCCTCCATCAAGTATAAGACATAACACACAAATGCAAAATATGAGCAACTGTAAACACACATTTCACCAATAAAATGATGGAGACCATTTTTTATGAATTTACAGTAGGCAACAAAATCAGTACTCGGTTAATCATCTAAAAAAAAAATCCTTAGTCACTGCCTTTGTTTATTTACTTCTGATTGAGTAATATTATGTCTATATGTCTGTCCAGTCGATGATGTAATGAAATGTTTCGGATCAGGACCAGTGAGGGTAAAACTGACTCCAGCTTAAACACAGAAAGCCCTTTGTGAAAAATGACATCACTGTTTTGAAACCAACCAAGCAACAGTCGTACACAGGATGAATACAAAAAATATACTGCGTACTAACCAGGCTTTTGGAGCAGATTTGTAGGGCTTTTAAACTGCTGTGTCAAGAGAAGGAGTTTACTACAACAAACTGAAAGATTAGAATGTAATTGGGAGAACATCTGGTTGAAAAGCGCTGGTATAAAGTGCTTTTCTTGACACACGTTGGACTAGACTCTCGACTTACCATGTGTCCATTGTTGTATCGGACCAGTGTATGAATGAGAATGTGCTTGAAACTCATCATTACCATTAAACTCAAAGTTATGAAATAATTTGTTATGAGTTGGTGATAGAGGGAGAGGTAGAACAAGGGTCTGGGGGGTTATGCTGTGCTATGCTGCACATGCTTGCTGAACCAAAGCTTGTCAGATCTCGTTGCTAAGCAGTGTTGGTCCTGGTGAGGACAATGATGGCAGAACATACAAAATAAATACTTCTGAAGTGGAAGCTGACATTTTGCTAAGTATAAATGGTGTGCATCCATGTGTTTGTGCGTTCATGAAGGGAAGGAGGTGCAGCTTCTGTGAGTCAGTACCCCAGGACAGCTGTGACAATAGTAAAGTAACACCACTGTGTATGGAGTGAATGAATAATGCAGTAAAAGTGGGTGTCATGAAATGCCATTCATTATCATTGCCATGTTGTACAAATAGACCTTGACTCTCAACCAACAGCTATATCACATTTTCCACATGTTATTACAGAGGGAGGTCATATGTGAGGGCTGTGAAGAAACTCAGGATCGTTTCCTCACAATAGACCCATATCCGGCCGATGTAATTCTATTGTAGCGGCCTTGCTGTAGGGTTGTAGGGTTGGGCTAGAGCTTTCCACGGCTGATATGACCGGAATGTACATCAATACTGTGATTGTGTGAGAACATGCATGTGTGCGTGTCTGCTCCTCCAGTGATAACACTGTGTGTGTTTCTCTGTGGTGACTTTGGTGATAAAAGTAAGTACTTTATGAAGAAAAAAAAAACTTTAAGTTATGCGGGTCAACGTTTCCTCCACACATGCTTTAAAGACAATGATTTATTCATTTTGCTGACCCGGTACGAAATGGCGAGTCGACACAGGACTTGCAATGAGAAAGGGCGGAGAGTAGACAAGTTTTTACCACGGTTTTTCCAAAGTCATATTAAAAAATTGCAATAATATCCTTGGTATAGAGTTACAGTATATTGTAGTAGTAGTAGTAAGTAATGTTTATTTATATACCGCCTTTTCACTCTAACCAGAGCCTCAAAGCGGTTTACAATTGTTATTTTTTTTGGGCATTAGTCTCTCACTCCTCACATAGATGGTAGCGGGGTCGCCAGTACGGGAGGCGCATGCCAGAACTATTGTACATATTTTTAGTGGTAGGGGAAACCGGAGTACCCGGAGGAAACCTACGCAGACACGGGGAGAACATGCAAACTCCACTCAGAAAGGCCCTGGTCCGACTGGGATTCGAACCCAGGACCTTCTTGCTGAGAGGCGAGAGTGCTATCCACTCAGCCACCATGCCACCCATATTGGATTGGATTGTAATGCACACGCCTACTTTTCTAAAATATTTTGTACAAGGTGGAAGAAAGAGCAGTGCATGCGACACCAAGAGCGGCACCAGGCCTTGTTAGGACCTGTGTGATCCACATGGACGCCCCAGGAAAAAAGTATGGGGTAGAAGGAGGAGCAATGGTCAGATTGCTTTGACTCGCCAGCCCGTTTTGATTGAAAACCCCAGTTTTTAGGTCAGAGTGAAAGTATCTTTAGATTGAACAATGTAAAAGTGGTGACCAGGAATGGCATATGAGCAAAGTATGTGTATTTTATAATACATTTTATTGCGCTCTTTATTTTGTTGTTTTTTTTTGCAAATGTATTCCAATGTACATTGGACATTGAACATTGTAAAGCGCTTTGGGTGACCTTGGTCTGTAAAATTTTATACTGCACATGGCTTTCATGATATAGTATTTAGTTGGACCCATTCAGTGATAAAAATTGGCTATGCACTTGAGATAAGGTTTTATATTAATCTTGACTTTCAAAGAATTAAAATGTAATTTGCCACTATAAGCAAGTTTCTACTTGGAATAAGAAAAAACCTGGTACTGCTTGGTTGTTGTTCCAATCAACAAGTAAAAGTTTGCTAGTGTGCTGATGAGCCGGGCTTCAGTGTGGCACAACCCTGAGAGCAGCCTCTCTCACCACAGACCGTAAACTGACCACTCCTGTGTAATATGTCACATCCACGAGAATGCCGTAAACCACAGAGTGCCTGTAAATCCCAACAAGCTTTCATTATGAACAGGGTCCGACTTTCTCTGCAATTGAAACCACTAACCAACCATCTCGATGTAAAGGTGTGGCGATCTCATTAGTGGTCGCCACACCTATACTGTATCCATAAATAAAACTAAATCACAAGTTGATCATTAGTTATAGGAGTGAGATTGAATATGGTGACTATTTGTGTTTGAAAAAAACAAAAAAAAATGCTCACAACCTCCCCCTAAGCTGCAAACTTTGAAACCTTCAGAAAAGTATTACATAATCTCTGTATTTTGTCTTAGTTATGAGTATGCAGCCATGTATGTCCTTTCCCAAATCAGAGCAGGGTTAACAAGTAGTTTCACTGAAAATCTGTTACATAATATCTCTCCTTCTCTCCAGCAAAAATATTTCACTGATTAAGGAAATTGTTTTATGGGCAACTATCAAACGTTTACTGAGGCCCTGTCCGGATGAAGACGATGTAGTCAAATGTTGTCTGAGAGAGCATCATGTTTTTTGGGTTTAGAGTTTGGGCACCTGACACAGACATTAATCTGTGTGTGTGGTATTTTCTGTTAGATTGTTTTTTGAGGACTCTATAGATATGCTGACCTATAGCAGTTACATTATATTAATAATTGTGATGGTAGTGTATTTATGAGGACCAGACCCTTATTTATCCACTCACTTTGCTGGCTGATTTAACCACTTAAATCTACGAATACACAAAGGGAAAGAACATTTTCTGCAAAGCTTCAGGGTACAGTAATGCACCAGTATTAGGCATTCCCTTTCCACTGCACTTGAGATGATGCCAGTTGGGTCACTTTAACAAAGGAGTGATGGATTTATCTGTGGATACCGTCAACACAAGGAAACACTGAATAAGGCTGTGCATGATGCTATGGAAGCGCACCGTGCAGGAAACCGTTTGGAACAAGTCCATTCAGTGGCAGGCAGGAGTTACCCATGCTTTAGGAACTGGCACATACATGTATTATGTAACCACACTCCCACTAACAGGGTTTGTATGAAGCAACTTGTCACAAAACTATTAACACCAGTAATAGGCAGGTAAGGCTAATTTATCTGTGCCTAAAAGTAAAATAAGTTGAAGTGACAGTGAAGGGGTCTCAGATATCACAACATACACACAATTTACAGTTCGGTCAGTTCATTTACATTCCTGGTGCACATAGCTAACGTTGTTTAGCAGCTAGACTCCAATATTGGGAGATGTAGTAGAAAAATATATACACTTGAAATTGCAGTCATAGCTGTCAAACTAGTATTATCTTTCATATGTCAAAGCACCAGAACATTGTGAAAACAATAGCTTGTACTTTCTAAATAGTCATACTATAGAAGTTAGCGTGGTACCAGTCTGGCAGCTGTACAATGGATATATGTACAAGTCCTATAATGGAACATTATGTAATCACAGTCCTCCCTTTTTCACAAAGTCAAGTAAATCTGTAACTCTGCGTATTTTCTTCCTTCATCCCTTACACTACTGACCCCCCACCACCCTAAGGCATTCTGCAAAAGTGGGCGTCGTATCACCCAGCCCCCCCTGTCACAACAGCCAATCACAAGACAGCTCAGCCTCTTGCTTGTCATTATAAAACACAGTGTCTCCCAGGGAGTTTCCACCAGCCTCTGCCTGCTCTCTCCTTCCACTGGGAACCATGTCTGTCCAAGCTGTGAAGACCACCACCTTCTCCACGCGCTCATCCAGGGGACCCTCCCAGAGCTTTAGCAGCCGATCATTTTCCGGCTATGGAGGTAATGCCTGCAACAGAGTGGTCCCCAGGCAAAGCTACGCGGTCAGGAGTTCGTACGGAGGCGGCATGGCAGGTGGCATGGGTGGGGCGGCAGGTGTGGGTGGGTTTAAGGTAGCAGGGGGATACATAGCAGGGGGTAAAGGGTCTGCAGGTGGAGGGGCAGTAGAGTTTGGTTATGTGGGATTCGGAGGTGGCATGGGAGGGGGGATGATGCACGACATGCAGCCCGCGCCCATCACGGCGGTCACGGTCAACAAGAGCCTACTCGCGCCCCTCAACCTGGAGATAGACCCCACCATCCAAGCGGTCCGCACGCAAGAGAAGGAGCAGATCAAGACGCTCAACAACCGCTTTGCAACGTTCATCGATAAGGTAAGCGTGGAGAAAAACTGCACAATATAATAAGAGGGAGGAGGTAGGGGGAAAAAATGCATAATTCGACACAAAAAAACTAGCCACGTCTATAGGTAAGTAAAGGCTGCATGATAAATGCAATCAAAATCACTATTTGAATGATCTCAATCACAAGAGGTCTTGAGCAAATCTATTCATTTTCTGTCTTTGTGTTTATAAAAGCAGCTAATTCTGCAGTTTAGACCTCCACAGCAATTCTCCAATCTTTTTGAGCCATGGCACACCTTTTTTCATTGAAAATAATCCCATGCCATACCACCATCTGAAACTGATTCAAAATGAAAATCTTCAACCTTTATTAACAACGCAAAATCAAAATCATGAAAGTGCATTATATAGAAAATCACAAGCGCAAAAAAATCAAATCTTCTCACATTACAAATTCACATTATTTTGACCAATGATGTGATATTGGATTAGACTAAAAAGCAACATCTCAAGGCTGAAAACACTGCTCTACAGTAAAGATAATTTTGATAGTAGGTAAAGAGTGTGTTGCTAAAGGGCACATCAATTGTAGTCAATGGAAGCAGTTGAATGGCAATTTGCCCAGAGGAGGCGTGGTTGTGTGATGAAGTTACTTTCTATCATACAACTTTACACTGGGTAGAACAAAGTTTACTATCAAGGCTTTTTTTTGTCTATGGTCTCAGAGGAGTCACACCCACGTTTATAATAATTTCTGATTTCTGTGATGACTCTGTTCAGTAAAATTATTTGTATCACAGGAAACGACTGCATTATGTTCCAAAACAGCTCAAGGTGACACAAATCTGGCAACTCTATCCTTGAGAAAATCTTTGTGTATAAAACAAAAGCAGCCCGCTCTGGTCTGTAGCAGAGATGTGCTGTTTTGAGTTAGACCCCCCCCTCTCTCTTCTCTCTACCCCTTTCTCCCCCTCTCACTCCTGGATGACTTCAGTGTTGAGATATAGAGGCTCAGTGGAGGTCTGGGATGGGCCGAGCTGTAACTCTATGTAAGCAATATCCTGCCCAAAAGACAGCATTTGAACTTCTAAAGCCAATCTATATTGACTTATCCGAATTTCATAGTTTGGAAAAGAGTGCGGCAGATGGATGATGACAAGATCACACAGAGGCCAACATCTTTTATTCAACATATCAATAATGAAAACATGTTTTTGATATTATTGAAATCTTACAGAATATCTAGAAAAGGACTTCTGTGAATGCAAATGACCAGCAGTGCCAACAAAAACACTATTACCATCACTTCTTCAAACAGTGCAACAATCAAGATAATGCATGAGAAAAAATAAAATAATCATAAATATAATGCATGGGTTTTATATAGCGCTTTTTGGACACTCAAAGACGCTTCACATGTCAATATTCATTCACTCCATACACGGTGTTGATAAACTACAACTTTAGCCACAGCTACCATGGGGCACATTGACAGAACCAAGGCAACCAGTATGTGCCATCGGCCCCTCCGACCACCACAAGCCATTCACACACACACCACCAGACTCATTCTAGGCAATATGTGTGAAGTGTCTTGCCTATGGACACAATGACAGTTTGGCACTTTACAGCCGCCCCACTGTAGCAACTACAGAGGTCTCCCATCACAGTACTAACCAGGCCCTGCCCTGCTTAGCGTCAAAGATCTAATGGGATCTGGCTTTTCACATGCAGTTATGGCCACAATTTAACTCCTATTTACATGTTTGAGAGATCTGTCTTAGGAGACACATAATATATTTGACATATTTAGAGTTGTTGAAGCTCACGCCACCACTTGAGAATCCAGTATGACTGAGATTGTTGACTTTAAGAGGCGGTAAAGTCATTAGGAGATTGTACAAAAAATGGACTGTTTCATCACGGCAATTAAAATGTGATAAAACTTCGGACAAGACAGTTTTATCTTATCAGAGAGCCAACAAATTACAAACATGAATGCCGGGCTTGTCTGAAAACCACAAGAGCTTTTAATAGTATGGAAGCATATCTTTTGTAATGTATGTAAGGATAGCAGCAGAAAACTACACTACTACTTCAACTACTTACTTTATTTATTTATTTAAATGTATGCACTTCACGCAAAACAATAAATAAGATAATAAATAATAGGCAAACAACAACAAAATAAACAGAAATAAATCCTTTGAAAAGTGGTTGAACAAAGCAAAAACTTATTTGCCAACTCATCAAACAGACACACACATACACACGCACTTAGACCCAGGCCCAAACACTCTCTGACACTACAACTCTCTCCCACTACATAAGAGTGTTTAACATTTTAACCTAATCAAAGTTGTTCCAAAGAGTAGCTCAACACACAGGGATACTCATTAATTTTAAGATGTAAATGCAGGACTACTCATAATTTCATTCTTACTATCCTATCCTTCATACTTTATACTATCCAAGCATGTATAGTTATGATAGTGCATCCACACCCTAAGAAACCTTTAAAACTCATAAAACGGCTCGGGGCCAGCCTCTCGCATATCTGTGCAGGTGTGTGGATGTGCTGTTTGCAGAAGGATGGTCTACTACACACTGGGATGGGGTGGGGGTGATGGAGGGGGCAGAAGTCACACAAAACCACTGACAAGGAACCACTTTGTGTCGAAACACTAGTCTAACTTAGATCAATAATAGATGAAGCAACTGCAAGTGTATTGTATGTTTGGGGACAATCAATCTTCATAGATGTAACTGTCTTTCAAAAATGGGGCCGGATTCCTTACACGTGTTTGCAGAGCATATTTATCTTCATTTGCAAACATGTAACTTAGAAATCAATCAAATTCCAAAGAATACAATGGAACGTGTCAAGATCCTCTTTGACAGTCACTGACTCTATCAAAACAAACTAGTTATCCATCTTTGGCAGCTTTCTATATCCATGTTCTGCTAAATACAAAGCTGCAACTGAACATTGAACACTGAACATACAACCACTTTATGACAACGCATCTACCGTGAATCCATCTGTTACCCATGTTCCACTGCAAAAACTGTGTGTTGTCTTTTAAAAAACAAGTTACTTTTGCTTGTCCCCTTTGCAAGTCACATTTTAAGGCAGACAAATGTAACTAAAATTAAGATAAATGTAACTTATTTCAAGCATTTCCCACAGTGTAATCTATACGTAATCAAATAATCTTCAGTTTTGCCCCAACTTTTGAAACTTTTATCTATCGTTTTTTAATTTTTAGGTGAGGTTTTTGGAGCAGCAGAACAAAATGCTGGAGACCAAATGGAAACTGCTCCAGGAGCAGACCACAACTCGTTCAAACGTGGACTCTATGTTTGAGGCCTACATCGCTAACCTGAAGAAGCAGCTGGACGGCCTGGGCCACGAGAAGCACAAGCTAGAATCCGACCTGAATCACATGACCGGGCTCGTCGAGGACTACAAGAACAAGTATGAGGGGAATAGAATGCAGAAATAGAATGCTGTAATAGAAGTTTGTGTTATAATTGAATTGAGTGTGATTTGTTGTTGTTTAGGTATGAGGAGGAAATCAACAAGCGCAACGACGCAGAGAATTCTTTCGTCCTGGTTAAGAAGGTACTTATTACACTACTTTTTGCGAGGGCTGTGGTGTATGTCAAACCTTTTACTTTGAGATACAAGTGTCAGATTGTCCTGGATGCAGAGCCAACCTGTTATTTTAGAAAATGTTCAACTTCGATCAATGATCAACTGAATCTTAATAATTCTTAAGTTAATTTTGTTAAGGTTGGGGGTATAGGCTCATCTAGTCCCCTGTAGAAAATAAGTACATTTGTTTTACTCCCCCCGTTACCAGTACTTAACTTGTGTTTTATTGTTTCTCAATGTTTCTGTGCCCGTTAAGCACCTTGGGATGCATGAATGGTGCTCTTTACCACATTTTTAAAAAACTAATTCGCAACACTTCAAAAACAGGTTTGAAATGGTTTACCAGGTTTCTATGTGAATCAGCTCATTGTTGTTATCCATGCTTCTAAGTTTAGTTCAAGTTCTGATATTTTTCATCACGATGACATCCATGGAAACCCAATTTATCACACAATAGCATCTGTGTTTCCTTGCGGAATGTATTTCTTTAGCCTTTAAGCAATATTCAATGTTATTTACTACAGGACACAGACGCAGCCTACATGGTCAAAGTGGAGTTGGAGGCCAAACTGGACGCCCTGTCAGACGAAATTGAATTCCTCCGACAGCTCTATGATACCGTAAGAACGCTTTCTGCAATTTGGAGAACGGAATAATTTTATGAAATCCAGACTTTAATAGAGTGTATTTTAGGAACTCAACGAGCTCCAGAGCCAGATCAAAGACACGTCCGTCATTGTGGAGATGGACAACAGTCGTAACCTGGACATGGACGCCATCGTGGCTGAAGTCAGAGCTCAGTATGAAGACATCGCCAACAGGAGCAGAGCCGAAGCAGAAACATGGTACCAGACCAAGGTAAACACCAGTAAACCAACTGAAACCATATTACATAAATACACCTGTCTTGTTCAGTCAATCATACAATCATTCAGTACATTTTAAGAAATACTTGTTTAGTTTTGGCATAAAACAAGTCTGACTTAAACCTGGGGTAACTAACTTTTGTTTAATAAATAATAGATTTTGTTTTTCCTAATAGAAAAAAAATATGTGAATTAATCAGACCACATCATACTGTCTTCATCTTAATAAGAAACAATGTTATAATGTTTTCAAACTTTCATGTCCTGTTACGTCACTATTTGACGTTTTGGTCTGAGAGCTGACTGGCTCTGAGAGAGGGTGGGTGTCTCTCTTTTTTTTTGTATAAAAAAAGCTGATCGAAAAATTCACAAAAAATTCATGCAAGTGAAAACGAGTGATTGAACTGATTTGAGAGCGAGGACTTTATTGCAGAGTTCTGTTTATTGTGGTTTGAAAGTTAGGTACTCCAGTTAGCTATAGTTTTATGTAGTGAATATACAGTTTAAATACTACAGCAAATAACTATACTGACCTCTTGTGGTGAAGTTAAAGTCAGACAGATATTAACTTTTTAACACTATGATGTTGATTATTGAAGTGAATTGACACACAATCAGTAATCACAAGCCATACTGAAAGTGTCTATAATGTTTTCAGTATGCAGAAATGCAGCAGTCCGTGGGGAAATACGGAGATGATGTGAAATCCACCAAAGCCGAGATTGCAAATATGAACAGGAGAATCATGAGGCTGCAGTCTGAGATTGAGATGGCAAAACAACAGGTGAGAAACGACTTTTACAGAACTGACCAGAGAACATCAGTCAGGAATATGGGATACAACTGTCTGCACAATGAACATGCTATAATGAATTGAGAAAGATAACTACTGTTGTGATTTAGGGCTATACAAAAATAAATTGAATCGAAATTAAATGACTGTCAACTGTGCTGATAAGCAGTAAAATGTGAGATTAAATCATGAAGAAGCCATACCTATTTATTCTAAACTAATTCAAGGGGAAATTGTACTTGAATCTATTTTGTATTAAAATTGGAGCAAATCATCACTGTCTTATTATGAATAACTCAAAAATGCAATCACTTGAGTGGGTAAAATAGAAGGGGAAACAGTTGTTACATAGCAAAAAGATTCCAACAAGTGAATATAGGTCAAGATTTTTATCTTTATTCAAAAAGGAAAGACTACAATAAAAAATGTAACCAACAATAAACAGACCCTCCTCTTGTTCTCAAAACAACAAACATCATAGGCCACACTTATCTTTGTCAAATACAACAATCCATAAGAGGACAGTCTCTTGAATATTTAATACGTGGTGTGCAGTGCAAGTTGGGATTAAATTTTCCTTCTGGGCCTTCAGAGAGCCAACCTCGAGGCGCAGATTGCCGAGGCTGAGGAGCGCGGAGAGATTGCGGTGAAAGACGCCAGACAGAGGATCCGGGATTTGGAGGAGGCCCTGCAGAGAGCCAAGCAGGACATGGCCAACCAGGTCCGACAGTACCAGGAGCTCATGAACGTCAAACTGGCCCTGGACATTGAGATCGCCACCTATAGGAAGCTGCTGGAAGGAGAGGAGAGCAGGTGAGAATGAGTAGGTGCACTGCAAAAAATGATCAAATATGAGATGATAATTGCTAGAATCGAGTTTTTTTAACTTGACTTAAGTTCATTCTGACTGTCTTAAAATGAGATTTGCCAATGGGACAAGCAATTTTGACTTGATTCAATAACTATTGCTTTATTTTCTCATTCCAAGAGAGAAATATCATGTATCTTTTTAAAACAAGATCATTTTTCTTGTTCCACTGGCAAATCTTGTTTTAAGGCAGTCAAAATGTGCTCATATTTAGATAAATTTAGCCAAATTTGAGCATTTTTTGTCTTGAGATCAATGAAAAATTATATCTAACAAACTTACATTGACATTCTAAAATTTGTTATTATGATTGTTAATTCTCTGACACCCCATTTATGCCAATAATTGTTTCCACAAAGCTGAGTCCTGTAAGTCCTATTTGTTGACAGCAACTATGCCTTATGAACAATGATCCAGGAAAATAATCGCAAAGATACAGTGAATTATAGATAGAATTTCCAACTAACTTTCAGCTAATTTGTAAATTATCAACATTCTACAATGTTGTGATGGCAAATTAATTCTAGCTTTTAAAAAGTCTTTCTCCTTGTTTTCCAGGTTGGCTACAGGGATCAAAACCAGCATTTCCAAGCAGACATGTAAGTCTAAAAGTATATTTTAGGCGAAATCAAGGTCACCTAACGTGAGGTAGCAGAAAACGTGAGCAATATGTAAACAATATTGCTAACGCATTGATGAACAAGTTTACAAAATAGAAAACTAGAAACAAAGAGTTAATTTATCCATGCACGAATTTCTGTTTTCCTATTTACACAATGAAGACATATAGTATCAGAGGATAGATATTTTCCAAAAACTTAAAGTTTGTGGTATTTGATCATACAATAACAAAATATATATTTAAGAAAACTGATTCAGATTACAGTTCTCTAATTGTACCAAGTCACAAAAGAAGTTAATTTTCTATTGCAGACTAAACTAACTATTCTAAAAACTATTCTCCCCAACACCATTCAGCCATACTGAATAACAAATGTATATTTACCTGGCTGCAGCTATGAACTACAACGCCTACGGCCTGGAGAGCTCGCGCACTCCGTCCTACGTGTCCTGTTCCTTTGGAGGAATGAAGGCGAGTGTGGGCCCCGTCATTTCTGCTGAGGGTCCCATCGTGAAGAGCACCGTGACCAAAAGCGAGACGGTGACGGTAAAAAGCGAGGCCTCCGCGGTTGCACAACAGAAAGAGACAGAGCCACAGGAGCAGCTGGAGGTGGAGGTCAAACCCGAGGTTACCCCAGAGGAGAAGAAGGAGCAGGAGCAGGAGAAGGTGGATGTGGAACCAGCAGCTGAATAGATCTAAGCACAAGTCTAACAATAAGCACTATATCTAATGTGGTTTTCAACTAGGGACAAAATGAGGTTCATTCAATAGCGTTACTTTACCCTCCCTATGTCTTAACGGGTTTACCAGCAATTATTTTGGAATTTTGTTTGGTGGGGGAGAACTAGACACTAGACACTCTACTCTTTGAATCAGAATCATTTTTATTGCCACGTAAGTAACAGGAGCCACAGTCTTGAAATTGCTTTGGCTCGGTGCAACAGTCAGAGAGAGAGAAAAAAAATAAAGAATAAAAAACACTTCTTAGGAATAAATGCTCATCCTCAATCAGTAACTTCAAAATGTGAAACTGACTGACACCAATCTCGTGGCAGCAAGAGCATGGGCAGCGGAAGAGGACCGAACTTCTTTGTCCTTGTTCCGCTATTACAGTGTTAAATATGTGACTGAGCAACACGTTACAAAATGTTTGGTCATATTACAAACATAGCCAACTTGACAATGTTTCAGACAAATGTATAACGCCTAATCTGTCATACTCCATGGAGATGTTAATGGCTTTCTTGGGCTGTAGTGCACTCCTCAGAACTACATTATGTGTAGCATAGCACAGCACTTGCTTGTCAAGAATGTGAAGGAATATGTTAAATGCCATACAGACAAGCATGTGGTGGATCCAAAATATGCAATCTTTCCTGTGTCGTCCCTGACTTGCTTTTAGACATCCTTCTTACACAGATGGCCTCTATGGGGATATGTATCACACTTTACTCATTCTTTGGTCAAATTGCTGTTAGTTACTGAGTTCAGAATCAAGGCTAAATCAATTCACAATATTTTCTTTGTAGCTTCACGTAAAAATATAGCATCACCGTTTCAATACACTGGGAATCTAAAAGCACAGATGCGATCAAAACTCAATAGACTTTTCATGGGAGGCGCTGGACTGCATCACACATGTCTGGCCAGAAGGTGGCGCCGTTGCATGTCTAGTCTGTGCTTCATTCACACTGAAACTGCTCCTGCTGAAGTGTATCTGCTGAATAAACACCTTTCACCAACTTTTTGTCAAGTGTTGTCAGTTGAATGTCATGTTTTACTTTACAAAACGTTTAATAGACCAGTATTGTTAAGTTAGCTGGCCTGGAATAACCGACGACGTTGTCAGAGTTAGTATAAGAACTAGTTTAAAGAGGAGATTTGTAGTAGCAATTATTGCATCATTAAGATTGTCACAGTAGTAGAGAAAGAAGTGAAAGTGGTGACAAATGGTGTAGCAGCAGAACAAATTGCAAAGAGAATTGCTAAGTGAAAACAACAGTGAGTGGCTAAACCTTCTAGTGCGGAAAAAAAATAGAATTCCCGGGTCATTCCCAGTGTTTTTATCTGCGAATGCCACAGGTCTGAACTTGAATCATGAACCAAACCCAGGATTTATGTCAAAATGTAAAACAATATAGTGTCTCGCTGTTTCTTTAGCACAAAAATACCAACATACATAATGAGTTTTCCTCAACAGAAAATTTGACTTCACAACTGCACATTCATAACAGATAAAAACATATATAGTCACAGTATATCCATGCACTGATAAGATAATAAGTTATGTGCAAAATACTACACACTACTGTACTATAATAGCCACGCCAACATTTTTACTGCTCTCGTATGAATACAAATATTTTGAGGTTGCCCTTCCAGTTCCCATTTGAAGCAATTAAAGTGTGTGCAGTGTGCCAAAGACAAGAATGGGGAAACTTCAGATCTCTTGTGAGAATGCTGGGCGTGATCTACAACTCATTTTGATCATACTTGACATTTCTGATGAGAGAGTAAAAATCAAAAGGTGGATATGTTCATTTGTAAATCTTCATCATGAAAAGAAGCTGCAGTGATGACAGATGGGTTTAAGGTAGCTGTTATTAAACAACTCTCACTGTGTGGCACAACAGGTCTAGCCTAAAACACAGCTTGTTTTCCCAAAATAGCTAAAAATATAAACTTGAATGTACTTAATCTTCAGCTGTTACCTCTAAGCTGTGTGTTTCCAGGTTGCTAGGCAGGTAGTGCGCCTAAACTTGAATATAATTGTAGTTTCTCTAAAAGACAAACAGTCCAGCCCAATGCTGTGTTTTCAGTGTAATCACAGTAACTTTGTCTGTCACATGTTGAAACCTGCAGAAGTCTCGGGAAACTTCTAATGAGCTAATCAAACAAAACATCCCTTTACATGCCTTTACAAAAGTAGCTTTTCACACAAAACAACTTTGGACAATAAGAACATACAATTGTGAGGAATTATATGTAAAGCTGTCATTATGATGATATTAAGGGCAAAAGTAAAATAGCTGTGGAGATACAGTAAATAGTTTGGAAACGAGAATACCATCTACACCTCCATAAACATCTACTTTGCATATCACTGACTTTTGATCGAAAGCCAATGGGAGTGTCACTAGCGCCTGCAGTGCTTTCTATCAGTTGGGCTGAGACCAAAAAGTTGGTTACAGGAACTACTGATCGGTTTTTCTGTCAGTTTTTTTATATTTATCAATGTTAAGAAAAAGTCACATGAGGGGCTAGGGATAATCGGTCATACTCCATGGAGAAGAATATGAGTCCAGTTTGGAGACGAAGGGCACATTCACACTTTGGTTCACTTTAACTGGACTAAATCTGGTTCACTTGGGAAAACAATACTTAATTTGTGGATGTGCAATCACCAAGTGATCGTGTGTGTCATTTTACATCTATTAAACCAGACTTGGTCCAGTTAAAGTGTGAACACAATCCTGAATAGGGGTCCATAAAATGAGCGACAATCAACCAACTTTATGTACAGTATTTACTATTATTCTGCTGACAAGCCAGGACCACATGCTCTTTTAAATCTACGATGGATGGAACTCACATTTGAACAGTATCTTGCCTCTGGAGTTCCGCCAAACCTTCCTGCAGAACACAAGAGATAGAAGAGACTTACCTGCCATACCTGCATGTGAAAGCCAGATCTGGTCAAACCTCTAAAGCTAAGGGAGCCAGGTCCTGGGTAGTACTGTGATGGGAGACATCTGAGAACACCATAATTCACCCACATTGGAATGAGTCTAATGTGTGCTTGAATGGTTGGTGGGGGTCAGAGAAGTGAAGTGTCTTTTAGGGTCCATAAAGCTCAATATAAAACCATTGTATTATTATTTTTTAGAAAGGAGCTGGGGAAGAGTTGCACTGATTGGCTGGTGACGCGATGATTGACTAGACCAAACCTGATTTCACCAGATAAAACAGAAGCTTTGTCTGCCATCTTGTGCAGGATACTTGTGACCAGGCATGCTCATACTAATATAATAACCGGTATTCGAACTGACCTCTGTTCTTCAGTTAATAAGAAGCAATAAATTGTCATGACAGTCTTCAAACACAGATGCATGCAGGCGGTTATGCAACATGAAGTCGTACTTGTTCATGTGATGAAGGGAGGGGTCGCAGATGTCAGTCAGCACTTCAGACGAGCCAAACTTCTTTCACTACCAACATTTTCACTTGAGCCCCACCCCATACCTCACTACGGCCCATTTGTGAAAACCTTTGTATTCTGCCACACCATTCATATCTTGTGCCACTCAAACAAGTTCCGCACAAAGCAGTGATTCATACACACAGAGCTAGCAGAGAAACAACAGAGTAAGATTAATTGAGACATTTTTAATGCCTTATAGTGAAGCGTTATCTATCTCAAATATGTGGCAGTGTAGCAGGGTGCAGCAGCTCATGGCCTTAGTGTCAGCTAATGTTGAAGCATGATATAGGAAAAGATAGGATAGGTTCAAAATCCACATCTTCCTCAATGTTCCTGCGGACTGCTTCAGTCCTGCACTGGACCTGTCCACGTTCAGCGGCTTCTGGTCCACGTTCTGTAGCTAGCTTAGGTCCTGGATCATTAGCCCGTCCGTCCAGAGGAGCGGATCCCTTTCTCAACTGGGTCTCCCCAAGTTTCCTTGCCGATGCAGGGGGGTCTTGTGGGACAGATATTGTCCAACAAAAAGGATGTGGTGATGACACTTTAACATTGTGTGTGCTTTATATTTTTCATGTGTTTTAACTGTTGATTCTCTGACCTGTGTTGTGATTACAATGGTTTTGTTAAGTCCTCTGAAATGACTTCTGTTATGATTTAGGGCTATACAAGAATAAATTGTATTGTATTGTATTATAATGGGAAATGTTTTTTCATGGATGTGAAAAGCCAGATCAGTGCTTATGATAGGGGAGACAGGAAAAATGACATGTCAACATTATTATTTTAGTAGAGATTTTTTATTATATCTAAAACAAATTATAATTGTAAACAAATAACGAAAGCATACCAATACACAAACATATGATACATTACTTAAACATTCACATAGACGTACAGAGGGAGTTAGTTAAGCTTTATCATTTCACTTCTTGGTTGTAAATGATGACATCACAGGAGAGATGTTCCCAATTGCCCCTAGCTCTAATGTGATCTTGGAAACTCTGAGAATGGGAATGAACGCTGGATCAATGTTTCCCGATTTTACTTCACTGTGGCACAGTCAGATTGTGATTGGACAAAAGAATAGAGACAAACTGGGAGGGGACGTGTTTTCATACTGTTGTTTTAACTTTGCAAAATGAAAATATTTACAATGATAATTTTTGAATCTATGACCGCAAAAATTATGCAGAAATACGTAAGATTATATTAAGCACATAGCAACTTTTTTTATAATAGGACCAACTATTTTTTTAAACAACTGTATTTCTCACCTTTCCAATGCACGAGCAAAGACAATCACTTTAATTTCTGCCCATTTTTGTGTTGTGGTTGTTGCTGCTGCGTGTGTGTCACCAGTGGCACCAGCTCCTCATGAATACTCTGATTATGAGAATACGTAGATATCTCCAAGTTTGAGAAATTGCAGCAATACTACCTAGTCATGAACCAGGCCAAAACCCTTTTCATCCACAGAAAAAGTCTCAATACA